TCGCAGTAGTCAAGGCACTACCGCGAGAATTGAATAGGTACGTAACACCTAGGTTAAACCAACTCTTTAATAACAAACCTGCAGCACGGTTCTGCGACGGACACGTTGCAAAGGATGAAAGAGGTTATAGGCCTAAGAATTTTCGACGAAGGCCTATTCAAACAACTTTTCTTGTCCAAACTTCCCCAACAAGTGCAAGCGGTTCTGGTCTCGTTTTACAACAACGCCTAAGACGAGCTGGCTGCATCTGCCAATCATATCTTAGAAACCACCAAATCTTCTACTACCGAGGTTTTTTCAGTCAAAGAAAGGCCTCAAATGACTCAGAATGACCAAACGCGTTATCTTAATTTTCGTAACGACCGTAGGTGATCACACGCTCTACGTAGAAGCACTTCACCTGAGCGATCTGTCTCTCGACCACGAGAGATGGAAAATCCCGATTGGTGCTAGTATCATAACCAGTATGGAAAGTCTTCCAGAAATTGCAGAAAACCCTGCAATTTCCCAAACTCAAGACCGACTGACTCGAAAAGCAAATCGGGAAACGTCCAGGCCGTCACGCGTTAACGACAACCATAGCCGGCGAATATAGCCATCTGTTATACGTCACAGATGTGACAACGAGAGTTCTCTACCTCGTCAACATTGGCGCAGAAGTTAGCATTCCTCCGGCGAATCTCAACGACCGGCTTCACGAATCGGCTTTAAAACTTACGGGCGGCAAACGGAAAACCTATCGCTACGTATGGCAAAAGGTATGTTTACCTTAACGTGGGTTTACGCAAACCCATTCACTGGATCTTCGTTGTTGCAGATGTTTCTATGCCAATCATTGGTATGGACCTTCTACAACACCATAATCTAATCATCGATACGCGCAAACGGAGGCTAGTAGACGGAAACACTAATTTGTCCGTTTGCGTAACTTCTTTTTCTGGTTGCAGATTATCCCCAGTTACAATTAGGCATACGATAGACCCACTTTATCAACCACTACTCGATAAGTATCCTGGGATTCACCAAACGCAACCGAAACTACCGTGTGTAACCAGCAATGTTGCACATCACATCACGACTACAGGACCACCTGCATTCTCTAAAGCACGACGACTAGCACCCGAAAAGCTAAGGTTGGCGAAAAACGAGTTCGATCACATGATAGACTTAGGAATCATACGACCGTCAAACAGCCCATGGGCATCTCCGTCGCACATGGTCCCTAAAAAGGACAACAACGATTGGCATCCAACTGTTGACTATCGGCGATTGAATGCGGAAACCGTTCCCGATCATTACCCGTCGCCTCACATTCACGATTTGACAGCTACCCTGAAAGGTACAACTGTCTTTTCGAAAACCGACTTGGTTAAAGCGTATAACCAAATCCCTATGGCTACTGACGGCATACCGAAAACCGCCATCCATACTCCCTTTGGACTTTATGAATTTTTGCGAATTCCTTTCGGTCTAAGAAACGCTGCTCAAACATTCCAAGGATTCATAGACGACGTTTTTCAAGGCCTCACCTTCGTACATGCGTATGTTGACGACTGCCTAATCGCAAGTCCGGACAGAGAATCACATCTCGGGCATCTGGATCTTGTTTTCGACCGACCACAAAAACATGGCATTACTGTAAACGTTCAGAAATGCCAAATCGGAGATGACTCATTAGACTTCCTAGGACACCCTATAGATGCTCAAGGCATTCGACCCCTTAGAGACAAAGTGGCGGCACTTCTAGATTACCCCGAACCGACCACGACCAAGCAACCACGAACGTTTAACGACCCTGTAAGTTTCTATAGACGATTCATACCTAAATGCGCGTTACTCATAAAACTGCAGTGGCATTGGACCATAACCACACAAGCTTCAAAGCTGAACACAAGACTACTCAAAAAAACAGATATTCAATATTTAACACGGAGAAATACCTAACAATGGAGAAGGCGCGAACAATGAATTGGATGGACTGGAGTTGATCGAGTGGCATGGCTCGGCCATGCAGGCGTGGTCTCTGCTGAATGTTACCTTATATCTTCTATTCATATTAAATATATTGTTCTTCCTCTAGCCTAACCTTGTTCTACATCATGTATTGGTAATTGATATGATACAGTGAGTTGGTGTAGTCGATGGTGTGACTTCCACGTAAGATCTTATAGATTAGGCAGTTATATCATGACAAATCTACAAATTTAGGATTAGGTCTCTTATTAGAGCAGTACTAATATCATAGTAGACAATAATTCTACAAAACCTCTTACCGACCAACTTCGTGGAAATGCGAAATCCACTAATTTGGACACCACCGCACGAAAAGCGTTCTCCACAAATAAGGAACTTATCGCTAAAGCAACAATGCTTGCACATCAGGACACTCAAGCACCCATTAGCATCGCAGTAAACGCATCCGACTCAGCAATCGGAGGAGTCTTACAACAATGGGTTAACAACTCCTGGCAACCATTGGCATTTTTCTCTAGACGGTTGCCAGACACCGAATCGAGGTACAGCACATTCGGTAGGGAACTCCTAGCTGTGTATTGTGCTGTATGCATTTTCAACACTATATCAAAGGCCACGAATTTACCCTTCTCACTGACCATAAGCTGCTTACCTTTTCTTTAAGCTCTTCCTCTGACAAGTACTCACCTCGTGAGTCTCGACAACTGGACTACATTTCACAGTTTACTTCAGATATTCAACACATTTCTGGAGCAGACAGTGTAGTCTCAGCTGCTTTGTCTCGCATAACTTCCTTGAACAGTTTCCAAGGCATCAACCTGCTTAAACTTGCCCATCTTCAAAAAGAAGACAGTGATCTTCAGCACGAGTTATCGTCTACAACCCTCAAACTATGCATCAAACAGATGGGAACAGGTAAGGAAACCTTACTTTATGACACATCTACAGTTAGTGATCGCCCAACCGTGCCGAAACGTTATCGACGCAATGTCTTCAATACATTGCACAAACTTTCTCATCCAGGCGTTCGTGGAACCATAAAGCTTATAGCAGAACGGTTTTGCTGGCCTGGCATGAATAAAGGCGTGAGGGAGTGGGCCTCACCTTTACCAGATTCAAATGGATACTCTGACCCCTCAACCTGCGTAGACCGTTTCACTCGATGGACAGAAGCAGTGCCTATCAAGGACATCACTCCTGAAACTGTGGCCCGCGCCTTCATCAAACGATGGATAGCAAACTTTGGCTGCCCTTCAACCATCACTACAGATCGTGGACGCCAGTTCGGATCTCGACTTTTCCGTTGTCAGACCACACTAGTAAAAATCACTCACTTCCGAACGACCGCCTACCACCCACAAGCAGACGGGTTGGTAGAATGTTTTCACCGACAACTAAAAGATTCACTATCAGCTGCAAACGTTTCACAGTGGACCGACGCTCTTACTAGGTATTCGCAATGCAGTGAAAGCTGACATTGGATACACTACGGCTCAACTCGTTTATGCAACGACACTTCGACTTCCAGGAGAATTCGTGGAACTTTCATCTTCCATAATAAACATGGATCTAACCTCCGACACGAACAGGCTTACAAACGCAATGCGTTCAGTTAAACCTGCTTCCACTCGACCACAGTCAACCGATGTTTCCGTTCAACCTGACTCACGATATAGTACACACGTTTTCGTTCATCGAGACTCACATCGACGACCATTCTAATCAGCATACGAAAGACCTTTCAAAGTTCTTCAACGCGAAACTAAGTACTATATAGTCGATAAGAACGGAACAAACGATAGCATCAGCATCGATCGCTTAAAAGCAGTGTATTTAGATAGAAATCCTATTCACGTCGATTTCCCTTCAGTAAAATCGCACAACACGACTCCTACGCCTATAATACATCAACCGACAGGCAACACACACGATGATACTTCAATAGTATCAGAAAAACTTGAGACGACGCGATCTGGAGGAAGAGTAAGATTTCCAGAACATTTAAACGATTATTGCACGTAAGGCAATACTTGACACCATATTATCTCGATTTTTCTTTTAACCATATGTAATAATTTTTGTAAAAAATTTTAATATGCCTACATATTTATATTTTTATTTTAAAAAATCATTATAAAAACCCTTTTTTAACGATATTGCGTGTATATGAGTTTATTTTCCACTTTTTCGCTGACATTGTGTTTTTACGCGCGTACGACTGTATTTCGACATGCACTTACATTTTCTTTTTTCTTTTCCAGGACGGCTAGAAAAGAACGACGGAGTTTACGAGGAGACGAAATTTTCATTGTACTTTTTCTTTTTTTACTATACTGTACTTCATGGTCCTACATAGTAAAGAAAGACGACCAGATGCTGCTAAACCTAGCAAGCTATCGGAAGGGTGTTTACCAACGACAAGATTAGTTTAAATGGACTCACCTAGCTGAATTCGCTCGATCATGCATCCGCACCAGACCACGTGTGGGAACGCCGTGCTCAACATCTACTGCAAGCGCTAGCCAGACTAGACCAGATAATTCCGATATATTGGCAATCGTCAAATACAACTTCTGATCTACTCGATTCTGTCTTTTGATTTCTCTTGGTGAGTACGAGTTATATTAGAAGGTGCTACTGGTTAAAGCGTTGTCAAACACTGAATACCTGTGCCATCTTCACGTTTAGTAAGCGAACATCTATTTGAGGACCATTGCAGCAAAACATGAAGTCACTCGAAGAGACTCTCATTGAAGAGCGATTTCTTGGAGGCGGTCCTAGTGCTTAGCATTTTGAGTCTTCTCCATCTAGAATGATCAACGCAAAATGATAAATTTTATGTTTACAATTTTTCAAAAATACAAACATTCACAAATTAGTCAAGCTTGTTCATTTACACATCTTAAATTGTGAGTAAGACGGAGATAAGGAAGGTGTCAAACACAGGTTCAGTGATATTACATGATAAATTTTTACTTGAAATACTGTTGTTTAAATCTGTAGTTGGTTTTACGAGATGTTTGGTTGTAACTTATTTAAATGTAAGAATAGCTTATCGTTACTGTCTGGATTACTGTGCTATTCCGACTTTCACTGGTGAAAATATGGTCGATTTCAGTGTGAGAGTTAAATAATGTTACGCATTTGTTTCTTTCTGCTGATAGCTATGTTTATAAATAAGTTACTGGACCACAACGGTTCTGCGTCTATTCCTTTTAACAATGAAAAAACTAAAGTCAACTCACTACATTATTTCGATTTCTCTGGATGCTACTTTCTATGCTGCGATCACAAGTTTTACAATAAGTCTGAAATTTCCAGTGAAAAATTGGTAATTTCCCGTCAAACTACTAGTAATCTGGCAGAACTGACTGAAATTTGGAGTTTTATTGAACATTTCTGCAAGGTTTGTTCTTCATACTGTTTATTTTTCTGAGTTACACAAATGTGCAGCTGAAATTTTAAGTGTCATTTGAAAATTTGGCTTGGCAGGCAGCAGATGTTTACGTTTTTTCTTCCACAGCTGAGATCTAGTTAGTTTTTACATGATTGTAACATTCCTCAGATGTATTCGCAAATATATTAAACCTTTGGAATTCAGTAATCATGTTTCTTTCCGAGTCAATAGACAGCTCATCGAGTTCTACCCTTTAGTTTAGGAGTTAAACGGCCATAGACAGTTCTTCATTGCACTATACAGTTTTCAACTTCCTACACTGGTGCGTCAACAGACGTGTTTTTGTAAATTTCGACTCTACGCTTAAAAAATGAATAAAATGTAGTTGATGCAATGGATGAGGACGGATAATATGTATATCACTTTGTTTACTAACTATAATTTCTACATTTTGAAAATATTTCATTGGCAATATGCTTACTGTAGCAACTAAGGCTTTGAATAGTCCTAATATAGAGCCTACATTTGCAAACTATTGGAAACTAGAAGTACATATGCTTTAGACACTTTGATTTATTGATCATTGGAGTAAAAGTATTCTTAGTTTGATTGGCCCTTAAGTTTTCAATCCGAAAGATTATGCTTGTATGGAATTTTAAGTTAATTTTTGTGTTTTCAGATCTTATATCCAGAAAAGTGTCTTTGTTTTTTTCTAAAACGGATAAAACACGGACCCTACTGCAGGAGATTTTTCGGAAAATTACTTCAATTATCACGATTTTATGTTATTTAATCAAGTAGCTTCCAAATTTTCTTCATAGTCGTTGGGTAGATTGAATTTAATGATGAGTTTAAGTTGCTTACTGTCTGTTCAGTAGCATACGTAATGCTATTACAATTGTACACATTTACAAAGGATTAATATACCTAGTAGTAAATTGTGCATCTTCTTTTAAAACTAATAGATTGATGTACAGGCGGACAGAAGATGCTTATAAAGCACAAACGTTTATGATATGGTGGTTTCATAATATTGTATAATCAAATATACAAAAATTCCAAATAACTACTTTCCTTTTCAATATCTGGACTGTAATGAAAAATCGTGATAAATATGCAGTCTCAATAGAGATTAGTGAGTCAAACCCTAGAATATGGTTGATAGAAGCAACACAATGTCCTCAGCGATCCACCTTATGCATATTTGGCTCTATAAAAAACGTAGCTTTATGCTTCTGTAAGTTTTAAAACAACTTATTTGCATATGTCTACCTAAATAATTTAATCCTAACCTAAATACATACCAGTTTAGGTTGTCACAACTTGCGAACTCACAATAATAAATTAAATTGATAATGTGGAAGCTGGGAATTTAGGAAAAGTAATGTCAATCGTAGCAGTGGGCTTAAGATGTTGTAGTTCTATGATAACTGGCCTCGGGATAATCATTTTTGTATTCACCTCTGTTGAGTAATATAGAAAGACACTAGCAAGTTAGGTACTTGTATATTCATAAGCCAAAAGTTTTGATTTAATTAAACTAATACTGAGAAGCCTATTTAAGTCACACTTTAGTTTTTTAATTAACGAATGCGTTTTATCCAAAATATATGTGTAAAAATGGTGTTTGGCGTAACAGACAGATGAACACTACAAATTTGCATTGGACTACGACAATATCAGCTGTTAACAATGACATTTTATCTAATAGAACCAAATATTTTTCATGGTTTTTAGACAGTATAATGGCGAATCACTTTCAGTCCTTAAAGTGTTTGTTTCAACCTTTATTGTCCGTTTACATTAAAAAGAACTAATTGAATTGAAAACGAGATGGAAAGTAAGGAGATATATATTTTCGACGCAAAACTATTTGACAAACGGTCATCTGAATTTATTTGGTATAAGTTTGAACTTCATACTAACTTGGAGCGCGATAGAATAGATAAAGGCGATCTGTATTTTCAATAATTCTACACTTTAGAGGACATCAAAGTTAGACCTTATTTCATTCATCGTTCTGAAATTTATGTAGTGTTTCGTTGAATGGCCGATATTTCCATCGAGCGAACAACTACATTTTTCATTCTCGCGAATCTTGTTTCATAAAGTTAAGCCTTATGTAAACACAGGAATGTCAGGGGTTGATGTTGTTTGATAACTTCTATACCTTTTAGGGTGTACAACCACTTTTGCCATACAGTAACAGATTTGTAATCATTATATTTCACAGCATCTTGACCGGTACTCTGATAAATTTTTATCCTAGGATACTCTGTTGCGCTCCTCGTTTATAGCTGTTTAGACACATTTGTGCTTATCACTACGTGGAGTTTGGTTTACTTCGTAATTCATACAAACATACTGTACATCAAGCATATTTATAAAATGACTCTACTAATGGGATTAAATAACAAGTAAGGGAGATCTTCATTTAGTATCGGCCATTTAAAATAAGGGTGGTTAAACATGTATAAGAAAAATGTATAGGAATAATATACTATTTTTATTCTTTTAAGAGTGTCACACCATCACAATTACACAAAAAAGAATAGTTTGCCATTGAATTATTTAATGCCCTAAACTTAAGAAATGCTTTGTAAAAACTACGACATACTGAGAAACAATTATTTTTCTCTCACGTCAACAAGTGAAGTAAAACGTAAATACTTTACAAGAAACCAGTTTTTATCTTATGTGTGCCAATTGTATTACTAATATGTGATCTTCAGTTGTCCCTAGCAAAAACATACTCAAACTAAAATGTTAAAAACGGTTTGAAATAGACGGGAACAAAGTTTTCTTATATGTGCAAAGACAAAAAGTTTCCGGATTTGCTTGTGGACTTATTTTATAAAGTACAGCATTACTATGATATAATCTTCATAAAATTGTAAATATGAATGACCACTGAAGTTCAGCACATTTTGTCTGTATAATTAATCAGTATATTTTTGCAAAACTAACAATTCTGTATAGATAGCTAGCTGTGCATAGTAGAAAGGGAAATTTAGTTGACAAACTTTCAGCTTTTGAAGTCCTAAAATATTATAACGGGAAGATCGTAGTAAGCTAACAAAAATGGTGAGCTATCAATATACATAAGCATATAGAACTTTGTAAAACTACAGTCTAACAGCTGCCAAAAATGCTTGCTGTAAAACCGATTCTAATGAGTAATATCAGTAGCCTAATGTTCTGGGAAAGGACGAAAATTACATTTACAAGTAGAAAGGGTGTATAGGCAGATATAATCTGAAAAAAACTCAACAAATTTTCGTAACTGAGTGTAAATGTTTAAATACGTCTATCAATTTCAAAATTTACGAAAACCCAAAGGTTTTCAAAGACTATTCAATGCATTACGCCAAAGATAGGTAAAGTTTGGTTGTTGACGTCTTAACAACTAATAGTTTTGGGAAGCTATTGATTCTAAATGTCACAAATTATTCAGAGATTTTGTTACAGTAGTCGAATTGTTACTCCTTCATCATTTTTATTTAATATACCGATTGAAATTTAAATCTTTTGCGAGCAATTTTATGTCTGACTCCTGAAATTTATGTTGCTGTATTCACCATACTACTTTCATGTTTTAGTTTTAGAAGATTTACTATTATCAGAATGACTTTTAATATATGTTTCCTGAGTTCTTAACATTTGCTAGAGTCTCTTGTTTGTCCTATTCCTACTTATTTCACTAGAATACGAATGTGTTAATAAACATATGAGTGAAGTGATACTTACCAATTTCAGAGTGAATGACTATGTGACAAGCAAAAATTGTAATCTTCTATTTATTTAAAACAAACTAGCAACGTATGGGGTAGCAATAGTACACTTGTCACAGCTGTCCCACATTTATATTCATATCCTCGATTTATTTAGTTTATTGTGTTGCTAAATATCTGTTTACTTGTGTGGATGCTACGTAGTCAGCTTTGATTCTGTGATAGATGTGAAGATGTTTATTCTAAACTTCCTTTCAACAAATGACTATGCTTGTATGTCTCAATCAGAAGGTTGATGAGGCAAATGAGAGGCTATTTTTATCAAATTGTTTTTTAAATGTTTGCAAATTGTGTATTTGGAAAATCAGTCTGTCTAGCTACTGCCTGTTATATTTGAGCAATGTTCCATTCTTTTTTAACAGTTGTGTGCTCAAAAATTATGTTCATTTGATTCTAACTGCGTTTATTACTTCGGTGATTCTTTATTACTTTTATTATGACAATGTAATTCTTTATTTTTGTCATAATTATCAATTAATTCGACCACCTCTTTTACGTCCTGTATGATTATTTTTGACTGCTGAGTGTCAATCTTAACCATATCTAGTAACATATCACATGTCGTATTCCCCTTTCATCATTTTTATTTCTTCTCGAATATCAGTTTCAAAATCGTCAGCTCAAATGTATCAGGTCTACGTTTCTAAACAGAATACTCCCGACAATTTTAGGTTGTTTTCAGCTGAGACAGAACTTGAAATCAAATGAATTCATTTCACTATATAAATTGTTATTTTTGCTTTGTTTAAGCTTCCATAATGTAGATTCTAAAATTTTTTTTCCGAACACACGTTGTATTAGTTACGTACACTGTATCTTCTTTAAGGAAACATAAGTTATTCTGATTTCGCAGTTACTATTTTTTATGATTCATATTACTCGCATTTCATCTGTTTGGCTCTACGATGAATTTTGTCATTGTGTTTTCCTGAAATTTTATGACGAAAAAGGCCCTTATATGTAATTATATAATGACACGAAACATTTGGATGCGCTAAATTATAAGTGGTTTTCAATATTATATTTTAATAGCTTGATGCTTATTATCATTATAGAAGGGATGAATTTATCCGTTTTCCGCATATTAGCAAAATCCTGGCTAGTCGTTTCTGTTAAACTCAAAATTTACTTTTTTATACTTTTGAAAATGTAACTAATAAAGTAAATAATCTCTGTTTAAGAAACCGTTTTGATTAACTATTTTGTTCAATATGTGCGATACTAGCTGGAACACTTGGGACAGTTTCGTAATACGATACATCTTCGTTTAATTTATCTATGAACTCCTGCCCGAAATTAAAACTCTACTACATCTTGATAGAAGATTAAGCAGTTCTCGACACAGTACCATAGCAAGAAGTTTATCATTCATTATCAGTATTTATTAAAGGAGAGTAACTTTGCACAACAAAAACTAAAGCCGAAAACTAAATTAAACGAATAATAATATAAGCAATATGAATCTGTTTCATTGACTTTTACGTCTTGATTATACATTTTCAGCATATCAATTTATCTAAAATGTTTATGAATTCTTCAACATACTCAAATATACAACGTCATCTAACTTTAGAAGTTGGAAAACCTGAATTCATGAATAATGGAAACAACAGATACTTTTGTTTGTATTGCATCAGAAACTACATGTTAAAAGCATCCATAAAATCTGACATAAACACTGAGCAGTACTTAAATTTATTTCTTTTTCGGTAAGTTTCTGTATTTTTTTAAAAAGTTTAGTGTTAATAATAACGACAAATTATTCTGATACACAGGTTTAAGGTTCTCGGTAGCTGACTGACTGAATTCAAAAGTATTAAGCACTACCAGTATGGGGTTGTGAAGACCGTTGAGGTTTTAATTGACATCATGAACCGATCAATGTTAGACCACTATTGAAAACCTGGGGGCACTGGACGGCCGTTTCGGACTTACAGCGAGAAGCTGCGACCAATCGAGCTAATCCGTATCAGGTAGAGACAGGTGTCTACCTCAGACAATGGAAGATAGTCGCACAATTTCGTGGATTGGTTGAAGTTCAACATTAACACCGTTGGATACCGGCTCAGCGGTCTAGAGGTAAAGGATTCGCGCGCGAGACCAAAGGTCTTGAGTTTGAATCTCGCATGCGGGATCGTGGGTGCGCACTTCTGAGGAGTCCCGTTCTAGGACGGAACGACCGTCCAGTGTTTCCAAGTATTAATCATTGTTGATCGTGTAATTTCGTAGGATTTATTTCCTCTGGTATGCAGCTGGACCATGGCATATCATTTGTAATTAAAACTATGTAAGGTTCGAAAAAAAGGAATAATGGATAGACATTTTGCATCATTTGCGAACTGAACCCTCAGTTATCTCATTTTCAAGTTATTTATGACTGATTAATTCTTTTGTCTATTTATGAAACTAATCATTTTTTTAGAATTGTACAATTTTCTCTGAACTAATCTAGTACATTTTTTCTTAAAAAAAAGCGGATTTGGAAAGAGATGTTCTGTCATAAACAACGAGACGGTATTGGTATCAGGGGAAATAATTCGTAGCTTCCCATATTTATATCAATATGAAATCGACTCTTTAATTACAGCGGTAAATTTTTAATCAGTGATGTAATCAAAAATTTAGAAGTTAATATCAGAATCTATTTTCAAAACTTGTCAAATAATAAGTCTAGAGCTTTGGAAAAATTCATTATTCTTATTCTGTGATTCTTATAATATAGGAGTTAGATTTATTTGGGAAAATAGGTAACATAATAAATATTCGATCAATAACATTATTTTTGAAAGTTAACATTTTTCGATCTAAATTATGTGTAATTATTCACACATTTCTGAACATATCTCTTGATATTCACATTCTATGATGCATATTAATTAACTATTTTCTCCAATGCGCAAGTTCATTTGTATTAAACATTCAGTTTACTTCATAATTCTCTCATTTTCCTGGGGGTTAAAGCAAATGTTAGTGTTTTTAACTCTTTAATCGTGTCTTAAGTTAGTATTCAAAGCATTTATGGGAGTGCATTGTTTAAGGTTCTCATTTATTAACAGTAAGAATGTGACGAATTTAATTTACGATTTATTGTCTCTATAACGTTGTGATCAACATAGCTTAACCTTACCACTTCGATGCACATAATTGTTTCACTCTCCTTCGGGAGCAAAAAGTATTTCGAAAAATAAAAATCTCATAATTCTACCTGTTAACGTTTATCTGCATTATATTTTTAGGAAGTTTTCACTACGTTCACCACGTTCGATAATTAAAACCAAAGACAAAATTTCTTTATTCAATAAAACTAGAAATATGATACCTACTTTTATGCTTCCAGCAGTAAACAGTGTACCTGTTAGAGCAGTATCTATACATTCATCTAATTTAATGCCATCATCAAGTAGTAATATTATGAACGAGTTCAACCAAGTAACATTTCTACATTACCAGTTTGATGTTGTACAAATTAAATATGGGATTATACAAATAAAAGTAGATGACGATCAAGCAACATGGAAACAAACAACTACATTTACTGGATTACAAGTAATTGAACAAAAGGTTCGTTATATTAGCCTTGTAGCTCAACCAGAAAATACGCAAACGGCGTTTAATGATCGCATACATATAACCTGTTTTAGAAATTTGGAAAAATCTAACATCATGAGGTTAGTTTTGCCAGTGAACTTTATCCGAATTCATATAAGTATCACCGTAAACAGACCTCTTTTGATTTATGTAAGTACCGTCAATGATAAAATAAACCCACATCTTATTGGCATGGAAGGCCGTACGGCTCGACTGGACTCAAGATATTTAGAAGTCAGAGCTGAACCATGGGAAAAGGATTCACTAATATGGTTTACTGTAACGAAAATTCCGATACATGGACACTTATTTCTAGTTAATCGAAGCAGTCAGCAGACAAATACAAATAAGGAGTTTGATGATAAAATTTATCTGGGTGTTAGTTCACAATTTACACAAGAAGACTTAAGAGCAGGAAATTTATTTTATACCTTTCGCCGTGTACTAGATGATAGTTCGGAGAGGACTTCAGATGTAAGTTCTAAACGTTTTAGTTTAATCGATGAGTTCAAATATCGTGTTAATGTAGAAGGAGCTCAACCCAAGACTATATACGATTTTCGAATAGTTATCAAGAAGATATCCAGCACTACTCCAATCTCTACTATTAAATTTAGTCCTACAATTATAAACAGAGGTGGAATTGTAGAGGAAGGTGGAGATCTGATTCTAACACCTGAGTTATTTTATGCTAAACATTCACAATGTCAAAACAATTCTGTACAAAAGTCATCTAATGAGCTATTTCAAGACTATGATCTGTATTTTCAAATTCTCTCATTACCTGAACATGGTACACTTTTAATAAAATCACCGTATAATTCAACTTTAACCAATTTAATTAATTTGACAGAATATAACCACAAATTAATTAATTATAACTTGTTAATATATCGTCATAATGATGAAGAAGAATTTAAGGATAGTTTTCAATTTCAATTTTTTTGCCGTCAAACACCTATTAGCCATTCATATGATGATGCTAATGACGATATAACCGTACATTTAACAGGATTATCACATACTTCAGTAGATGAACTATTTGGTCAACCAGTTACTTCTATTTTTCGGATTCGTATTATTCCAGTGAATGATAATCCTCCGAATTTGTATATAACTCCTCTATTTGTTGAATTTAACACAACAAATAACACACTAAGTAAATCATTTAAAATAATAGATAAAGATAAGGATTTGCAGAACGATTATTTTGATAATAAAAACGATGACAATAATAATAATGATGAATCGATCTATAAAAGGGGTGATTTTTGGATTTATTGGGAAGAAAACAAAAACTTCCACAGAAAAGATATTATATATCCAAGTTTGGGATATTTCATTCAAAATCTTGATATGACTGTCAGTCGTCGTTTCAAATATTCTGAATTAACTAATGGTCTTATTAACTTTAAACATATGGGACTTCCTACCGGCCAAGTGAATCTTAAAGTAATGGATGGAAAGTTTACTGTTACTAAGCAACTAACAATCAATGCGACCAAGCCCACTTTTCTTGTATTGCAGCCAAGTCGTATAACATTGAGATCAAACGGGAGAGTTTTCATTCCTATCGAGGTAGGCGGTTAATGAAAACTATTATTTTATTATATTCTATAAAACTGAATATCGTGGAAATGCACTATTGAGTATCCGGCTCTAAGTGGATTTCTTTTATTTTTACACTTTTGAATACTGTAACTTATTTCCTGCCTGTAGTATTTATTTCTAAGCAAATGAGTGATGTAGAAATGAAAGCTCTATGTTTATTAGGCTGAGTTATTTTATTCTCTGATTACTTTGATAATAAATTTTGGCTTTACTACATGCTTACTAATGATTTCTAATATATTATGCTAATCTCTGAACAAGATATATTTGATGAGGTGTAAGATAGCAGTATAATCTAATTTGAAGTAATCGGCACTGATGATGGAAAGAATTAGGGTAAGAAAGATTATCTGTAATAACCATATATAAATATATATATTTACGCATAAACAAGTGTGAGGTCATTTGAAGATGGAATTCAAAAACATATGGCGGATTGAGGCAAGATCATAACAGTATCAGTTAGAGAACTCGAACCTGATTTATGTCTTGAGAGTGACAGTAGTCAACTTATCATTGCTTAGGAAAATTGACAGAATCGAATAATATCACCTGACCATACTATCATTATTTTATTAGTATTCCCATATTATCACTTATTTTGCTATCCAATCTTCGCCAAAGCATTGGTCAAAACAATATTTTATAGAGTAGAAAAGATATGTACCACAGACAAACTGGAGAAATAATTGATGAGCATTGAAAAATACCCAAGAGACAACTACTACGCATATAAATTTATTGACCAATATAAAAAACCTTGAGGAAACAAAACGGAAGTGATTACATTCAGTAAAAAAACATTATCTATAAATCTCAACTTCAAAGGTGATGACGTTGCAAGCGCAATCGGCAGGAGGCTCGGCACTACATTAGTCAGAACTTACCGGGTAGCTAAACTATTAATTTCGTATGAAACAACATGTTCAAGGTCGATAAGCACCCCTTTAATGTTACTGCCAACTGTATTTATAAATTAACGTGTACTTGCCAAAGCAACCACATTGACCGAGCAGAAAGGAGGGCATATCTTAGATTTTTAGAACATGTTCCAAGAAACCTTAGAACAAGAGAAAGAGTGGCTTTAAACAGTGCAATTACCAAACATATCTTAAATACAGGACACCAGATCGATACCTTGTAAGTTTCTAAAGTGATTAATAAGCAGCCACGCTTCAGTCCTCTGAAGTTTGCTGAAGCCGTTGCTATCAGGCGTCAAAAACCTGATTTGTGTGTTCAAAAGATGTTTATTAGTCTTTCCTTGCTTTAGTGACAAATATTCTTTCGTAGCATTTTAAAGAAATTCTTTTATAACTCTCTTTCGCTCAACTACTTCACTACGTCTTTCTGCTTCGACTGTCTTTCAGATTTGTAATCTTATTTTATTAACTGAGCTTACTCATTTAATTCTTATCAGCGTTTACTCATTGTGTAATCACTTGTTTCTAGCTCTTGAACCATTGTTACAATCAATTTTGTAGAATGTTACTTTACATAAGGCATTTATTTACAATATTTTATTCAGTTTATTAATTTTATTTACACCCTTGCTATACTATACTGATGTATCTTCAAAATAACTTTTAACTATAATTTTTCGTGTAAGTGATTTAAATCTCTTTAGTAGTTATGATTTTAAATGTCACAGGTTGCAAGGAGCTGACTAGAACCAAAAGAAGTAAGATGAATTGATGCGATTCTGAAGAGAGCAAGAAAAAAGATCCTAGCAGAATAGCATGAATTCATTTTATTTCGTAGGTTCTCGTCAGCTGCTTACAACCTGTGATATTTAAAATCATAATTACATAATGGGATTAAATTACATGAGAGGTTTGGTTGGAGTTATATTGAAGAAATATTCGTACAATATAGCGAGGGTGTAAATAAAATTAATAGACTGAATACTGTAAATGTATACCTTATGCGAAAGAACATTCTGCAACATTGATTGTGACAACGGTTCAGACGGCTAGAAACAAGTGATTACATAATGCGTATACATTGATAGGAATAAAACGAGTAGAGCTCAGTTGATAAAATGAGATTATCAATTTGGAAAATAGTTGAAGTAAGAAAAATCAATGTTGTAATAAATGCAGGAAAGAGTTTAAAAAAAAAAATTTTAACGTTGCAGCGACGGACTATTTGTCACCAAGGCAAAGAAAGAATAATAACCATCTCCTTTTGAACAATAAGTCAGGTTTTTGACGCCTGATGGCAACAACTCAAACTTCAGAAGACTGGAGTTTGGCTGCTTACCAATCACCTTAAAGGATTGCAAGATATCTTGATGTATTGTGTCAAGAAGATGTTTGGTGATTGTACTGTTTAGAGTCTTTCTTTCTCTTGTTCTGAGACGTTTTAAAACATGTTCAAAAATCTAAGATATGCCCTCCTTTCTGTTCGGCCAATGTAGCTGCTTTGCTAAGTACACGTAAATTAATAAATACAGTTGGCAATAACATTAAAGGGGTGCTTATCGACCTTGAACATGTTGTTTAGTTTCTTGTTGATTATGTGTATGACACCATCGCCTTTGAAGTGAAGATTTATAGGTATTTGTTTTTTATTGACCGTAATTATTTAGGTCTTTTTTTCTTTGAGCTTTTTATATTTGTCAATAAACTTTTGTGTGTGAAAATTGTCTCTTAGGCATTTTTCCACGTTCATTAATTCTTCTTCCAGTTTGTCGGTGGTACATATCTTTTCTACCCTGTAAAATAGTGTTTTAAGCAATGCCTTCTTGTAACTAATTGGACAAAAACTATTGAAATTCATGTAGAGGCCACTCCAATTACTTTTTCTTTAAACTGAACGCTGGATTGTCCCGTCTCCCCTGCGTTTTATGGCAACATCAAGAAAGTGGAACATGTCGTTCTGTTCGTCCTCCATAGTGAAATGTATGTTAGTGTGAGCGTTATTGAAAAGCTTGAGCAGGCGGATTGCATGCTTTTTATTGTTACAGATAATAAATGTGTCGTCCACATATCTGGAGTATTCCGTTGTTCCACTAATTGCCTGTTTAAGTACCGTGTTTTCAAGATAACACATAAAAATATCTGCCATAATTGGACCTAGTGGGCTTCCCATTGCTACTCCATCGATTTGGCGATATATGGTGTTATTGAACTGGAATTGAACATCTATTGTGGACATTAGTAGTAATTTCTGTAATCTGAGGCTGGTAAAGGTAGGAGATCATAATTCTGACAAATTATTTCAATAGTGCCAAAAAGTGGTATGTTGGTGAACAAGGATGTTACATCAACAGAAACCATGAACTTATCGGTAGCATTCGTGTGATTTAGTCTATCAGCAAACTGGAATGTGTCCTTAACGTAAATGTTACTAAACTCCGACGAACCGGTCTCAGTTTTTCTGCTAACCAGCGTGCAACTTTATGATACGGTGAGTTGATCATGGGTAGATTAGTCTGAGGGGAAAGTCATGTTTGTGAAATTTTGGTAAACCATGCATATGAGGTAGATGTGAGCCACGTGGTCTTAGATCATTGTAAGTAGGATTAACAATCATTTTCCTTTTTAGAAGTTTTCAAAGCATGCCTGTCATTCGTTTTTCTGTTGAATCAGTCAAACCTTTTTGGATTTATCTACCTTGAATCTCAGTTGATCGTCTAGGATTGACTTCATCCTTGTGACATAATCAGCTGTATTCATTAGGCCGACACCTGAACCTCTATCCGGTCATAAAATCATCACCTCATTATTTTTTTGATATTTCTTGAGGCTATTGAATGTTCTTTGGATAGAATATTCGACCTTGGTGTCGATGACACAAAGTATTGGTTGGCAATACCAACTAACTTTGATTTGAACCACCCATTCTTTCCCTCATTCACTGAATGCAAATCTTTTAACTGATCAACTAGATTCTCGAATTGAGCTTCTGTATCAATCCTGTCAGTATTTGTTTTTGGTATATGAAATTTGAGTCCCAGTGATAAGGCTTCTGTTCCTATATTATTAAGCTTCATATTTGATAAGTTATTGATAGACTTCGAAGGGTATTCCAGGAACCCTAAACATAGTTGTTCTCTTATCAGGATTTTCGATAGAGATTTATGGAAATTCTTGCAAATATTGATTTGAAGGTTACGAATAATATTCACGAATTTTATTCGACATACGATATTTAAGTCATTAACGGCTTTGTCAAAAGCACCGACCTCAGTCCTTAGTCGTGTAATGAGTAATTTTGTTGATTGAATGTTCGATTTGGTGATGCGTCTTAGATGAGTAATTTTGTTGATTCAATGCTATGTTGATTCATGCTGTTCTGCTAGAATCTTTGCTCTATCTCTCTTCAAGATGATAAAGGGAACTGTGTGTATGTAATGATTCCATGAGCTTACATTTTGCGGGTAGATTAACCGCTCAGAATTAGCCTGGCAAAATCATTAAGAACGTAAGGTCATATGTAGACTATTTTATTTTTGTGCTGATCCAATTACCTTGACTAACTAGTTAAGAAGTTGGAGTTCAGAAATGCTGCAGTTAGATTTATGTACAATTCGTTTCTAGTCAGTACACTAAGATTGTTGATAGAATCTACATGCTTGATACATTCACAATTACTAGGCTTAGCAGAGAGAAAACTGAAAATAATAAATTTGATTCATTATCATAATTTAACGCTAATTGACTACAGACAACATTCATCTTCATAAATTACATGAATAGGTCACTTAATTGACTTGAAGTAGTATAGTAACAAAAAGGACTGGTCTTCCAGACAAATTGAACAAATATTCAAAAATGTTTTGGGTCAGTTTTCGTACTTTCAAAAATGTTGTCCTAAGACCAATCAACCGTATTATACTATAAAAATAGAGTTAAATAGATAAAAGTCTCGTTACAAAATACTGATGAATTCTTCATAGAAAGTATATAAATTAATTTTTGTGTAACTAATGTGAAGATTGAGGAAACAATATCAATAAATTCGCG